CCCCCACCCAGAAAAAAAAAATAAAAAAAGGAAAAGTGAGTGTAACAATAACAAAAAGTTAGGCAAGAATGGAGTATTACGGAAACCCCCCGACGCGGATGACCGCCACTCGCTCCTCTGCTCTGCTCCCACCTAATTGAACGCCCAATCATTTCCTCTCCTTAAAAACCCGCTTGCTACTTGCGCAAAATACCACCCAGATACCCAAACCTCGAAATCGGGCCGGCCCCAATTTTATCCCGTCGCCGGCGGTGGCCATCTGGTTGTCCCTCTACTTGACCTTTCGTCTGGGGTGCGCTCTCGTGGGTGAGGGGGGGTAAGAAAGGTGTGTGGGTTACGAGATGGAGGCTTTGTCGGTCGTGGTCACGGGATGATAAAAAGCAAGGGGGAAAGGAAAAAAGCGTGACCCGCATTCTGAGCCGATAAGATGGAAAAGAGGTTGCAAGTGTGGAGGAGGCGGATTCAGGCTAATCATACTCATGCTCTGGGGTCCTTGGATCTGTGGACGTTTGTAATGAAAGAATAACTTCATATCTACATTTAGGGCTGGGCGTATTCGGTTCGGTTCGGTTCTACGTCCAATCCGTATCCAATCCAAATTTTTCGGATTCCCAAAACTCTCATCCAGATCCAGATTTTTTCCCCTTCATCCGAATATTCGGCCCAACCGAAATTCGGTTCGGTTCGGTTCGGTTTCGGTTTTGAATTTGTAAAGAGTTCTATCCAAAGACTTCTGTTGTGAATTTGCAAGGTGGGCATTGTCCTCATGATGAGGTTCCTGAGCTCGCCAACAAAGCTTTATTAGACTGGTTATCATCTTTAGAATAAAGTTTTGAGTTGATATAATTACGCAGAGAACTGATGTTTTAAAGATGTTGTTCATATAATACAACATGCTTATCTCTTGTAAGTATCATGTACATAACACATTTTGTGATTGATTTGAATCTTATGTAATTCTCAAGATCTTTTCTGCGAATTTTTTTAACTAAAGTTTAAGTTTATTTAATTACACGGGGGAGTGATGTTTTGTATGATATTGTTCATATAATGTAGCATATACATCTATTGTAAGTGCATCATGTGCATAACAAATTTTCTGGATTGATTTGAATCTTTACTTAGTTCTCAAGGATATTTTTCTGTGATATTGCTGTACTCATTGCTTGAAACTGTTCCTTGCGCCGTTTGAATCTATTGGATGATAACAGAAAAAGTTTTGATGTATAAGTTTAGTCTCTAAACCGCCCAACAGAATTCGGGTCGGTTTTTTTGGGCAGTTCAGGGGTTCAAACCGGATCCAAACCGATTTAATTCGGTTCGGGCGGTTTAGAGACTTCTTCTCATCAATTTAATTCGATTTGGTTAACCGGTCCATTTTTTCGGGCGGTTTTTTCGGTTGAACCGATTTTTTTCGGTTTTTGCCCACCCCTATCTACATTAACCTTCAAATCAATACTATGGTGTCATAATTTTAAGGTTCTTTCTCCTAGAAATCACCTTAAAAAAAAAGACCATTATACAAAAAATATTTTTTATTTTTAATTTATATGTATAACTATCTTTGAAAGTACAATTTGTGTTTAGGCTCCAAAAATTAAAAAACTCATGAGACTAAGCCCCTACACTTTTACCCCATGTGATTTTATTTTACGCTAAAATCTAATTTTTTTTTTCATGTGACGAATAGGAAAATGATTTAAGGACCCAAAATATGGGACCAAGAGAAGGGACAGGTGGGGTGTCCCCTCCCTATTGCATAATGAGTTGGTCATGCCAACTCATTATGCAATAGGGAGAGGATACATCACTTGTCCCCTCCCTTGGTCCCATATTTTGGGTCCCCGTAGCAGCACTCTAACGAATAAGCCCTCTTCCACACATATTTTTCTCTCAACATTAAAATACCCTTCTTCTTCTTCCTTCTATCTTTCTCATGTACTACTCCTCTCTTGCTCTAATCAACTTCCTCCTCCTTTCTTCTCTGTTTGGTTTTTCATCTTCCTTCCTTCTCCTCTACTTCACCTCCGCCCTCTCATGTCCGCCCTTCTCTCTCCTCCGTCCATATTCCTTCCTCTTTTTACCTTCACCATCTTCATTTTCTCCCCCCTTGTCTTCTCTACCTAATCTTCATTCTCAACCCTCCTCCTTCTTCCCTCTTCCACCTCTTCCACTCATCCTTCTCTCCCTTCTCTTTTGTTATGGTAATTTACCATCTAAAGATGAAGATACCAAAAGATTGTCTACAAAAGCTAAAAAGGCCATGGTTCAAACCAGCTTAGAGGCTCCAAAGCCCAGCCAAGGGCAAGTTTATCGGCCAGTCGAGCAGGCGAGTTATTTTTGACCAAGGGTCATCATTACTGTCTCGAAATGTGGGACCAGTCGGTCCATCGTAATCAAGACGACTCCTCCAGCAGACGTCTCGACTATACACTCGACTCGAATCTCACTCGGCTATCGAGTTGAGAAATTACAAAGACAACTCACGAACCGACTCGCCTCTACTAAGGGGATAAGATCCAGCTAAGCTCACCTCAGATGTCAATCAACACAACAGCACTAATCAGTCCCATCAAGATCTCTGCTCTGACAAATCCCCTGCATAAGCTGTTTATTCTACTCACAAGTCACTTCTCTGGGATCGTCATGATGCTCTTCTGGGCTCAAATAACTTCCCCTCCAGTCATCAGCCGCCATTTGGAGGGGGAAGGACAACTGAACAGTGGGCTTATCCTCTGCCCTGCCTCATTTGTCGAATCCAGGATATTAAGAGGACACCTCTCTCCTGTATTTGAGTGACTTCTCTCCCATCGCTAGTCGACACTTGGAAGGAGAAAGATGACTCAGCCTCCAGCTCACCCTCAACTGCCTCCTGTGCATAGTCAAAGCCGAAGGGTCAAACTCTCAGAGGCGATGGGCTATAAAAGGACGAAAATAAGGTAAAAAGAAGGATTTTTTCTGCTACTTCTTCATAAAAGCTCTGAATTTATCTTTGCTAAAAGAGAATCATTAACTCCATAAGAGCATATTGTGAGGACCTCAATGGCCCAGAGACTCTCCCTCAAACCCCGCTCAAGCTCACCAGCTGACTTGACTGTCGGAGGTACCATGGGGGAAATGAGCCCCGCCCTCCCACGGGTTTCTTCTTGTCTGTGCAGAAAGACGAGGAATTCCAGTCTAAGGATCGGGCATAAAATCAGAGGAGGAGTCGGTCCTATCTCTCATCCTCCCCCTATTCACCATCGGCGCGAAGACCAGAACCGCAACCCCATCGACTATGTGTTCACGAACATCAACAGCTTTCATCTCTATTTGCCTCCCACTCTTCCCCTCCTTTTTTTGTTCCACTTCCACCCTCCTCTCTCCTAGATTTCTATCTTCATTTGCTCATTCTTCTTCAGCATTCATCGCCATAATTTGGTTTACATATAAATTAAAAATGAAATGTGGTTTTTACATAATTATCCTATTTTAAGGTAGTTTCTAGAAAAAAAAATTTAATTGACATTGATGTATACTAGCTTTAGTGATAATAATTATAAATTGTATAAGTTTTTATTTTTTATTTAACATGGGAGGATTGTAATATTGATCTAGAAATTAAGCATGCTAATTCTCAAATTGGTTTATCAAATCGTGGATTTGTGTAATGAATCTCACAAATCATTTTGGACTATTTCGCAAAAGTTAAAGGAATGGGATTAAGGAGATCAATTGACATAGCTGTACCATTTTCTTAATCTGAAGGGTTGATTTCATAAATTGTCGAATAAGGTTTATTCTAATTTTTTGAATCATTTTTAGCGTTTGAATAATAAGGGTTATGTCTACTTTCTTTATAAATAGAGAGATTTATCTCTTAACATACCTAACTAGGAGTAACAACAAGCCCCTCAATTTGAGGAGTTAATTCATTTTAACCTGCTAGAGAGTTATCTTAACCTCTAGCAGCTTTTGTATTTGACAAATTATGGAATATTAACTTTACGCTTTGTGTAGATTTTTGTGTTTGTTTGTCGGAAATTTTGCAATAAGAAAATGAATGAAAGAATTGCGTTTGACTTTATTCTCTCTAACTGTTTAGAAAAAGAATGATTACAACCCTCTCTACTCTTGATTACAATTTGAATTCCTGATTACAAAAGAGAAGAGAATGATCTGGATTCTCTCCTTTGTTTAATTCTGGGTTCTTCACGGTGGCGATGAGATGCCTCCCTCGAATGCTCGCGTCGAGTTTGCTTCTCGTTGACGATCCGAATATCTGTGCTCACTGGAACAACGATCTTGTCTGGTTGATAACTCTTGATGAGTTTTGTGATTCAGAATGAGTAACAAACTCTGATAAAAAGAGTTGTTTGAACCGAAAATGATTCGGTTAATAAACCAAGTATCTAACGTCTGGATCCCTCAATGGATGTTGATTCCCCAGACTGTGTAAAGAGTTAATTCTCCAACTCTCTCTCTAAGATCCTCTCCAGAAAATCTGATCTCCAATGATATCTCGTCCTTCGATCTGATTATCAAAAATCCGATCTCAGCAATCCAAAAAGAGATCCTTCAACTCTGTTGAGTTTGTTGATATTTATAGGGGGATAGGGGTGTAACTGCCCCCATAATCCGCACCTAAGTAGGGGTTTAGTTATCCCATTAATCGGGTGTAACAACCCACTTAAGCCACTCCTCAAATCGTGGGTGAAGAGCGGACTTCGAAACCGCCTGGATCGTGTTTGAACAGGTCAGAGCTTTGACATGCGTTCTGGCCTAAATTCTGTGTTTGAACGCAGCATCTGGAGGTGCGTTCTGCAGCGATATTGAGCTGCGTTCTTCGATGTTTGAAGGTGCGTTTGGCAGCAGTATAGAGCTACGTTCGACGTCGGTTGGAGCTGCGTTGAGCAGCGATGGAGAGCTGCGT